GCACAGCTATTGCACGAAAACCCTGCTGCAGTATCTCGTTCTCATTGCTTTCAGGAGAGCACATAAAGAGCTCTCTCTGAAGTTGTGTGGAAATTACTCTGTATGATGCGTGCCATGTGATTTGGGAGCTCACTTGGCTGGTGGCCTTAAAACCAGGATCTGAAATTGTTACAAAGCTAGCAGGGGAAAGGGCCAAGCTTGTTTAACATATCTAAAATTGTTGAAGAATTCGTGTTGTAGATGCAAGAGGAACACAATTCTTGTTTATAAGTTTTACTTCAGAGAGTTCGTCATCTCCTGCATCATGACAGAATTAGTTTACCATGATATGAGGATCAAGTTGAAAAAGGTGAACATAAACATAGTATCGGAACTGAAAAATCTGAATCTTCAAATGGCATCCTTGTTCTAATACGGAAAAAGAACTTTTGCTTTTATATGGTTCTTGGCTGCGTTGTTGGATGCTTCCTTGAAATTTATACAAATAAAGGCAATATCATAGATTTTCACTGCACATCGATAACTTTGTTGTCCAATAGTCTTACATCTCTTCTTTCAGTTACTCAAAGACTATTGTTATCGGCTGAGGTCATGTTAATGCTCCTATATCTTTTGGTCGACAGTATTCTAATGGTTGTCTGTAGTTGTTTAAAGTGTGTTTTCTTTAATTATCATAGTCTGTAGAAAGTTTTTTACCTGTGGTCAGTGGCATTACCTCTATTGTCCTAATTTTATGAACTTGTACAGGCAACTCAAACTTCTGTTTGGATTGATGGCTGATCAAAATCTGTGCTTTATCTTTGCTATATCATTGGATCAGTTCTATTAGTATTTCATACCTTTCATGTCTATTCAAATTTTGGAGTTTGATAATTATACCCCAAGGCCCTGACATAGTGATTCATTCATTTGTTAGGTGTTGTAAACATGATGTTTTCAATGTTGTGCCAAAATAATGAAAGTTTATTACAACCGAAACTATTCGAGTTATAATTGCTTGACCGAGATCTTATGTCACATAAATTCTAATGTCTTTTTTGCTGATTTCTCAGCAGCATGTCGACTCTTATGACATGAAATTGTTCTTGTGTTTTTTTTTCTGTGTAGGAAAATAAAATTTCTAACACTTGTTGGCCTGGTTTTTCCTCCTCCTGTGGTATAGCTGACACTTTCAAATTTCATAACAGTTGGTTGTAATTAGATTTTGCTCAGAGTAATATGAAACAGTGTCAGCTGCTGAGAAACAAGTGGTTGCATGTTGTGAAAAGGTTTTAATACTGCCCAAATGATAAATGTTTAATAATTCATAAACATATTTCAATATTTCTTTTTTTCTGAACATCAACAATAATAATATCATTTGAAATATACTTTGGTATTTTGATTTCTCTAATCATGGCAAGATTACTAATTTTGGGAATTAGGGATTTGGATTCTCCAATCCAACATAGATCACACCTTGCTGTCAAAAATTATAATCTTCTCATTCACAATCCTGTGCTACTAACAGCCCTTTGGACTTCCGACATAGAATTCTATTGCTGATGATGAAAGCCCCGCAAGAAGTTACATGAATGCATGAGGCATGTCACTTGGCGTTCGCATAAGCGACATCTTCTTCTTCTTCTTCTTCTTCGCTGATTTCCAGTACGAGACAATTCTTCAAACAGGTCATCAGCATCAATCACGGCTGAAACTGGACAAAGATCCATCGAACCTAACCCTCAATAAGATGCCTAGGGCACGGTGGAGGGAGTCATCATCATCACACTCCCATCACCATCCATCCGGCCACCAACGCGGTGTGTGAAGGAAAAGAACAAAAACATGCAATAATCCAAGGTGTGTCGCTCACCTGTCTCGGTGGAAACGCGGAACACCTTTTCCTCCGATGGCCTCCATCGGTTCGACTCCGACGATGAGTTGTACAATCTTTCGTGACGAGAAAATCCTGAACTCTGCCTCCTCCAAGATATGGAATCCTAAAATCCCTATCACGAGTACGCGATCCGGCCAAGCGACTTAGTTAGCATGATGACTTAGTCACCTTATGTTGGGTCCCGTACATCAATGATCGCTTGACATGTTATGTCGTTTATGGATAGATAGATAAATGGGAAGATCCAACAGAGGAAATCATGTTGTAGTGGGTAGAGCAAGACTTGTTCGCAAGTGGGCACGCATGGTATGAATGCCTTTATATACCTTGTCTCCTTGTGGCTTGGAATTTTCCATGTTTCAAAGGTGGAGGCTAAAAGGAAGTATATGTGATATAAATATATATAATGTAATATATAAATGAAAACTATCTTCAAACATTGCAAGGATGTAAAACCCTCCAATTTATTGTGGAGAGGTGATTCTGATAACCAGAGGTGGTGTCTGACCTCTTGAAGTAACAAAGAAGGGGAAGTGAAGACTGGTAGGAAGGAGAAGGAAGAAGCGTTGCCTGCACATTTGTTGTGGTAGAAGATGTGGTGGGTTGGGTCTTTGGAAACCAGATACCTTTGCTGAAGCTAATAATCCAGACGAAGAAGCTGTTTGCATGGTCTTTCTTTTCCTTTTTGGATCTTATCGAGAGATCTTCTGTTGGAGCTGAGGAGTTGTGATGGCCTGACCTGAGAGATGAGTGCAGGTTGCTGTGGTTCAACAATGGCTGCCATGAATGCACGCGTGCCTCATCATTGTGCTTGGAGAGAGAGAGAGAGAGAGAGAGAGAGAGAGAGAGATGACAGGAGAGTTCCAAGATGTGGCATGGG